CATTTTGAACTATCCTGTATACAGTGCCAGTCTCTACATCAGCGATTTTCAACCGGCATTGAAAAGATAATTTTTACAACATGCAATACCTGACTAGTCAGGGACACTGACCTCTTTTCCCTTAGATTGTCAAATTTGAAAAATGATAACAGCCAACACAATAGCCACCCAGTGTGAATGAATCAAAATTATACCTCTTGTTAGATCAACAAAAAATCTACTTTTTGGTGTGCCGCTTAATTTTAGTAATTACCATCCTGTGATACCAAATGATTTTAAGTTCTACACCCGTTAATCAAAATAAAATTCACTGCACTTTTTGTTACTAGCACATAAGCACAATGTTACCTTTAACAAGGCCATCCTTGAAAATAAGACATAGTTCATTTAACATATAAAATTCTTCTGTGAAGGTGGTATCCCCTACAGCCTCTCTAAATTCAACGTGTACCCTTTCTGTTTGATAGATCCTTGGTATCTTCCAATTGAAGCTGGGAGGAGGCATAAAACCTTCTCTTCAACTACTTCCATTTTACTAGAACACACTTTTTTGCATCAATGAGATAGCCTGGATTAGTATGCACCAACAGGTTGAAAGCAAGTCTCTCACTCATCTTCACAAATGGCAAACAAGGGCACTACAGGTTTCCGCAAAACCAAATTTGTGGCTGCATTTATGCAGAAATGGCTTTTTACATTTGATGTTAAAAAATGACCTTCCTACCCTAACCGGTTTGGCTCAGTGGATAGAGCGTCAGCCTGCGGACTGAGGGGTCCTGGGTTCAATTCCGGTTAGGGGGGATGTACCTTGGTTGCGGGCACATCCCCAATGGGGAGTGTGCAGGAGGCAGCGGATCGATGTTTCTCTCTGATCGATGTTTCCGACTCTCTATTCCTCTCCCTTCTTCTCTGTAAAGTCAATAAATTTTTTTTAAAAAATGACCTTCCTTCTATGAAATGATAGTAAACTGCGTCATGACCAAGTTCTAGTAATTTCTGCTTTTGTGCTTTTACTATATAAGAAATGCACATCCCATTCCAGTCCACATTTCATACTTCCTCTTTTAAGCCTTTCCTAATTACTGCATCCTACAGCAAACATTTCCTTCTCCAAATTTGTTGGACTAACGTAAGATTTACTGTGTCAGCAATTACATATTGCCTTGGGTTATTCTTACTTAGCAACAACACTGATTTGGGCAAATATGGTATCAGTACATACTCAATGAATAGTAGCTTTGGGCCAAGGGCTGGGAGCTTTATGAGTGCCGTTTCTAATCCTGTTATCAAGCCTGTATGGTATTCTCTCATTTTAGACACAGAATTTCAAGATTCGGAAAATCCAACTTGCTCAGGGTCACACAGCTATAACCAATCTACTTAAAATTGCTGTAAGGGGGCTCAAGATGTACTCTGGTATACCCTACAGGAGTTACCCATCCTCCTTAAGCCTGATTCCTCATCCAAAGAAAAAAAAGTAATATAGTCCCAGAGCCATAGTAAGGGTACCACAAAATAGAGCACCACAGCATTGAGCTAAGTGTGCTCAATACAGGTTAGCTGCCTGGCATGGCTGAGATTTTTATCTAGATTTGATCACAAAGACTATCCTCTTCCCACTACTCCATAATGCCCCCATGCAGTCTTTTCTATCCTATTCCCAATGACACATAAAAGCAGACTGCTTAGAACAGTGGGTGCCAAGGGATTAAGTGGAATATACTTATGCAATAAGTATTTTTGTTGACAAAAAAATCTTTCTAAGTTTCATGTATTTTTGAGTCAAGAAAATATCTGAATGACCTACGACAGCATAAGCATGCTCTCATGAGGGTAAGAAAGACAAATATTCATCAACTGATTGCCAAGGAAAGAGAAAACTAGTAAGAGGGAACTAAGGAACCAACCTTCCCCAAGCATCGACTCTGTTTGGCCTAATACTAGGGGACTTTCCAAATGCTTCTTTTTGGTGTTTTATTACTGTCTATTTTCTAAGCATGACCGCACACTGTAAATATACAATTAAAAGTTGTAACAATCTCATGAAGCATGGTTCTGGCCGCCAAACCCAGGGCTTAACAGTGGATAATGCCTTTAAAGAATGGAACACTTGGCTCAGAGTCAAATATGGAACAAGAAAGTTTCACTTCTGTTTACTAGTCAAGCAACTAAGTGGAGGAATAAGCATTTTTAATTTAAATTGTGTTATATAAAATGCTAACTTATTGGGACATACTACAAACTATGCATTAGATAAAATTTTTTGACAAACTTCCTATAATATTTTTATTAATTTACACTGAGAGAATATAGCACTCTTCATCCAAAGAACTGAAGGTGCTTTACAAACATTAGCAGTTAAAAAACAATTACATTTAAAAATCTGGATTCTTGCTGTTAAATCTCAACTCCAGGTACACAATTTTCTGGAGGCTGATGAAAAGCAATTCTACTTCTCACAATAAAAGAGGCTCAGAAAGAGTTCAGATTTGCTTTCACAATACAGGCATTTCCCAAAACCTGCTGGGCTTACAAAGCAAAAACACACAAACCTTATGCAATGAACAATATTTCAAACCTTATTTCAAAAGCAAAACCCAGGATTTAAGACGTCAAAATCTTCCAAAAGTTCTAGACATCCAGATGGAGTAGGAGCTGATGCAGGTTGCATATTAGATATGCTCTTGATCCAGGCTTTTTAGGATCACACCCAATTAACACATTTACAGTGGTGAGATATTTCAGGAAAAAGCATCAACCTATAAAAAGCTAGCCAAGAGTGTATCAGGTAAGTAAGGAAAGGGAGTGATTGGCAACTAAAAGTAGACAGTTCTCACTAGAGCCTAGGACAATTTATTAGAAACCAAGTATATCAGAGGCAAATAAAAATAGTGATTATCCCCAATAATACAATATAAGGGATTTTACATTCAGCCTAGATACAGGGAGTAACAGATCTTTCTGCCTACAAACCTATGACCTGCAAGTATCTTCCACCATGTGATTTCTCTATTATATAGTACGTAGCCCTTATTTCGTAGATAAATCCAAATACTCCTTTTAGGCTTACAAAACTCAATACATTGACTCTCTCTTCCCTTTACATGTCTAATAGTAAAAACTTTTTTTTTCATGCAAAAAGCCATAATTCAGTTGAAGAGGGGGAAAAAATCAGGCAGAACAGAGATGGCAGTTAAGAAATGGACTGAATATTATTGGCACATGCCCAACTAGTGACAGACAAATGCAGTATACCACGACTTAAGAATGTCACATTACAGGGATAACTAAAACTACATCAATCTAAGCTGGAGAGTGTCAAATGGGAAGGGAGGGCTCAGGGTTACTGGTTTCACTGGTACAATTTAAAAGCAGAGGGGAGCAAGCACATAAATACAATTTATGGTAAGAGGAGCCCTTGCAGGTGTGGCTCAGCATTAGAATGTTGGCCCATGCACCACAAGGGTCGCAGGTTCAATTCCTGGTCAAGGGCACATGCCTGGGTTGCACGTATGTTCCCCGTATGTGGGAGGCAACCAATGTCTCTCTCTCTGTCTCTCTGTCTTTCGCAGAGGTGTTTTTCTCTCTCCCTCCCTCCTTTCCACTGTCTTTGAAAAAAGCAATGGAAGAAATATTCTCCAGTGAGGATGAATAAAAACAAACAAACAAACAATTTATGGTAACAGGAAAAAAATACTGCAGAGAGCTATTTAAAGACCATATCAAGTTGTCTGCATCATTAATTTCCAGTGTTTAACAACTAAGTAAAATACATAGCTACATATCCCTGTAAGATTAATAACTTTCCCCCTGAATTACACTGGGGTCAGGGCAATGACACAAAGCTACTGACCCAACAGTTCAAGTGTGTGCAGCAAATGTCTTAGCCACTTCTTTCATAGAGCTTTACAATTAAAAACTACACAAGTAGCTGGGTGATTGTAGAAAAAAATCAAAACAGTGTTGTGCTCATTTAATAAAAGAAAACCCTAATGAAAAATTATGTGCCAAGAAGCGTAGACTATAAAGACTTTTATTGCATTTTTAGGTAACCTGGAAGTTCTTATCCTGAAGGGGAAAAGTTGGTTTTTCAAAACTACCTGAACAGATGCTAAAGTGCTTTATTAATTGGCTGGCTTCACAAAGATTTCCTGGAATGACAAAAATTAACTATAGTAGTAAAAGGATACCAACTATTTCACAAAATGGTAAATTCCAACATCATTTATGACCACAGTCATAAGAGACACTGGAACACTTGTCCTTATTAAGCGGACGTTGCATATCAAGGACTGATCACCACAATCCTTTGGATATTCAAATTACTTACACAAAGCTGAAACATGGTATCACAGACCTTTACAAAAAAGGACAATTTGTTTCTTTCCACACTTTTTAAAACCTGCTTCAGATTACAGTTCACAAATATAAGAGTCCTGACTTTTCAACCTTTCCAGTTGCAGTTTAAAAAAAAAGAACACTTTCTAAAAGTTAAGGTCAAGTGTTACAGCAAGAAAATGATTCCTATTGAAAAGTACATAGATATTACTTAATAATACTCATGATAGATTGTAAACTGGATTGATCACATTTTACTCAATTGGTATCAAATGAACACATCAGCATTACAAGTATTAAATGTTTTTCTATTACTATAGAGGATATAAACCAAAACATTAATATGGCAGTTATGTTCTTAGGCACAGTTTAGTGATTTTTTTTCTTAAATAAATAGTACTGAATTTCAGTTGAAGTTTTAAACTCAATAACCAAAGGGTCAAGAACTCTTGACTAAGAAAAAAGAAAAAAGAGTAACTTTAAGCTAACAATGTAAGCTGTTTAAAATTTCTAACACTTTAAACCTATCTGGGTTTTATTTAAGATTACTTTATTTAAAAATACAAGGAATCTGAAAAAAAGATCAATACAATTATCTTAATGTACAAAATCATAAGCTGTAGCAGTTTTTAACTCAAATTTAAAAACACAACAAGGAGGGCAGCCCTTTAGACCAATTTATTTTATATCCACTTAAAATATCCAACAAAGGACAATGAAGTTTACAGCTGGGACAAGTATACATAACTCGAGGCATTTGCAGTCCATCGTGCCCACTGAATAACAACTTTGCTGCTGAAATTTCTTAAAACTTACCGAACTAAAACAAAAGCCTGAATGATATAAAAGGAGTATTTCAGTGTAGTCTGTTCTGTCAATTGGCTTTTTAAAAAAGGAAACACATCTTGTTTCCCCCAGACCAGTAAATAAGCAAGAGCTACATGCAGCAGTATGAGTATTAAGACATTTCTCAAGTCTTCTCAGATGAGTCCAAGGTGGGGATGGGATGGGGGAGAAAACTGATAGGAAAACATTGTTATAGACACCATAACAAACAATAAATTTAGATAATTTAAAATAAAAAAAAGGCAAGAGGCAGCATTTCAGCAGCAAAGTGCTCAATAAAAAGTATATTATAGAGGGTAATACACGAAAGTTGGGGTAAGAAGAGGGCAGAAAATGTGACCGGTCAGCAGGATGGGCGCAGGCCTCAAAGGAAATACGGCGTCGTTGTTCTGGGAGGAATAACACGTTCTGAATCTGGAACTGCCCGGAATAACTTTGGTTCTCTTGTATTTACATCTTTGAAGACCATTATTGAAGCAATATTTCCACAACGATAGCAGTAATTAGGTGCAGACCATACTGTTACCAGCTTCTCATCAAACATAAACTTATAGCCTTCGTGCACTAGTTGGTGTGCTCTGCAGATGAGTTTTAAGTTGTTGATATGAACAAACTGCAATTTAGAAAGGATTGGTTAAGTATCCAGCATATTCTTTTTAAAAATATCAACCTACATATATAATAAAATAAACATTTAAATAAAGTATAAATCCTGTTACTAAATACGGTTCTCATGATTATAAAGCCAACTCTATAAGTTACCCCCAATAATTTCAATGAGTTATAGGTATAGAGTCATTGTGGACTGAGACTAGTAAAGAGTTTAGAAATCATCAGTCACATAACTAGAAGTTTCCGGAAGAATAGCATCCTACAAGTACTATCAGATATGAAACAAAGTTCTTATGATTTAACAATAAAGATATTGTTACTATATCTATGATTTACTAAGTGTTTAGTGTGATTCTTGAAAAAATTCTGAGATTTACTATCCTTTTTCAGTGTAATGAAACAGATTCAGACAGAATAAATAACTTGAACCTAGCTCTCTGATTCCACATTGGATTACGTACTTCCCAATATAGCTCATCCGTGTGTGTGTGTGTGTGTGTGTGTGTGTGTGTGTGTGTGAGTAAATAGTTGAACCTCAAAAAGTTGCCCATTCACAATATACACATACATCAAGTCATTATGTTGTAACACACACACACACACATATATATATATATATATATATATATATATGATAAACTAGATGAGAAATTTTATATCCATAACCAACATAGTTTGAGTAAACTAGACTATAAGTTTGTTATCTATAGCCACCACAGTTCTTTGTGTAGTTCATTACAACCAACAAACCACTTTTCCGAAAATGTTGACTTTACCTCATTTGTGACCTTTGCGCCAAAAAGCCAACCTGCTCCTCGGGGACTGATAGCCCAAGTATCCACATCTTCAGGATCTGACCAAACCAGGTCACAAAATGCTCCTTTATGAGGAATTTCCTGATTCCGTTCAATGGTTCGAATTTGATCCAGTGTTTTGATATCAGGAGATAAACCACCATGAACACACAAAATCTGCTCATCTATTAACTAACAAAAAGGATAACAAAGAGTTGAACATATAATAATAAATTCAGTTATATCCAAATTCACCAATGAATCATAATAATATCAATATAACTAAGATGGCAATTAGATAAAAATATGCAAGGTGTTATTGGCAAGAAAATACATTGTGGCTTTAGAAAGATTCGTATAAACTTACAGCTGCTACTGTGAGCATGTCAAAAACTTTGGTACAGTATCTCCAGGCATTAGCATTTCCATATTTGGTTTGGCACTCATCTATAAAAGAAACAGGAGAGTTCTCAGTAATGAAATTCTGAATCTGCCAATAAAAATAAAGAATACAGATTCAGACAGAATAAATAACTTGAACCTAGCTCTCTGATTCCACATTGGATTACGTACTTCCCAATATAGCTCATCCGTGTGTGTGTGTGTGTGTGTGTGTGTGTGTGTGTGTGTGAGTAAATAGTTGAACCTCAAAAAGTTGCCCATTCACAATATACACATACATCAAGTCATTATGTTGTACACCTAAAACTAATACAATGTTAAATGTCAATTGTATCTCAACTAAAACATAAATATGAAAAAAATATTTTTTTAAGTTGCCTTTCTTGCCCTTGCTTAATCTCATTATTTAATTGCAATATTTGGAAGAAAAGAAACATTTATTTTACATGTTACCAAGTAGATGCTGAAGGAGATGCTTTCATTATTCATCTCATTTGATTATTAAGGAAAGTATATATACATA